AATATTATGTACTTTAGATAAAGGGAATAAAAGTAATATTAAATGTCATTTGTAAAATGAAAACTATTATCCTTCCTGGAAAATACTTGTAGGTCAGTCTGTCTACACTTATTGCACAGACATTGATACCTTTTCTTTTTAGGTTCATTGGTTGACAGTACTTCTTTGAACTTTTAATTCCTTGACCTCCTTGGGCTCAGGTGATCCTTCCACCTCAGCCTCCCGAATAGCTGGGGCTATAGGCACGTGCCACTACCACTCCTGGCTAATTTTGATTACTTCCTTAGCATAATCAAAATCCAGCCATAATGTCTTGGGACTCAGAGCGACTCATACCTATGCACATCCCCCTTCACCCTTAAGCTGGACTTATTTCTGAAGAATTAGAATTCCTAGGAAGTTCATAAGAGCAGAGACGCCCACTGGTGCTAGTCAATGACTTCTTCACCAATCTGCTTCCACCCTTTTAGCCTCATTCAGTTACAGCTGTGTTGTGTGTGTGTGTGTCTCCTTAGACTCTTTTTTTTTTTTGAGTTGAAGTCTCACTCTGTCGCCCAGACTGGAGTGCAGTGGCCGCTCCCGGCCACCACAGCCTCGACCTGCTGGGTTCCAGTGATCCTTCCGCCTCAGCCTTCCAAGTAGCTGGAACTACACGCGTGCACTACCACGCCTGGCTAATTTTTTTTGATTTATTGTAGAGATGAGGTCTCGCCTGCCCAGGCAGGTCTTGAACCCGTGGGCTCAGGCAATCCACTCACTTCAGCCTCCCAAAGGTGCAGGATTACAGGCTGAGCCACTGAACCCGGTGGACTCTTATTTCTAACACAGAATTCCTTGCATTTTGTCTTCTTTCATTAGGTTTGGAGACCCTCTGGAGTTTGCCAATTGTATCATAAACAATTCTGTTATAAATGTTACCATTCATACATTTTTGTATGCCAAATTATTTGCTTGGAATAAATTGCTACGACTGGGCTCGGTGGCTCAGCCTGTAATCCCAGCACTCTGGGAGGCCGAGGTGAGTGGATTGCCTGAGCCCGCGGGTTCGAGACCCGCCTGGGCAACTTGGCGAGACCTCATCTCTACAATAAATCAAAATGAGTGGGACATGGTAGCGCCTGCTGTATTCCAGCTACTTGAAAGGCTGAGGTAGAAGGATCGCTGGAGCCCAGCAGGTCGAGGCTGCGGTGGCCGGGAGCGGCTACTGCACTCCAGTGTGGGTGACAGAGTGAGACTCCAACTCAAAAATAAATAAATAAATAAAATAAAATAAATTGCTAGAAGTGAAGTTTCTGGATCAAGGAGAGGCAATTTTGAATGCTTTTAATAAATATTTCCAAATTTACTCTTTAGAAAGGTTTATACTTTCTAGTTGTATATATAAAAACTCTTGTCCCTGAACTCTTACTGATGCTGGATAATTTTTTTTAAGGTTGTCAGTTTGCTAGACAACAGGTAGTATCATATTTTTGTTTAAATTATTATTTTTTTAATTGTTAACTTTTTTTAAGTTGGGGTCTCACTGTTTTGCCCAGGCCGGAGTGCAGTGGCACAATCATTGCTCACCACAGCCTGAGCTCCTTGGCTCAGGTGATCCTCCTGCCTCAACCTCCTCAGCAGCTGGGACTACAGGCATGCACCACCATACCAGGCTAATTTTTAAAATTTTTTGTAGAGACAACGGCTTATGTTGCCCAGGTTTGTCTCAAACTCCTGGGCTCAAGCAATCCTCCTGCTTTGGCCTCCCAAAGTGCTGGGATTACAAGTATGAACCACTGAGCCTGGCCTAAATTAATTTTTATTGCTAGATTAGTTGAACATATTTTTGTGTTTATTGGCCATTTAAAAATTTTTTGGGAGAATTGCTTGTGAACATTTGCCCACTTTCTTTTGGAATGCATGCTTTTTATCCCATTCCTTCATTTCTTTCACATATGTTAATTGAGCACCTTTTGTATGCTAGGGCCATTCTAGGTGAACAAAGTAACAAAATCCCTTTGATTAAGGAGCTTATATTTGTTTTTTTTGTTTGTTTGTTTGTTTTTGAGTTGGAGTCTCACTCTGTTGCCCAGACTGGAGAGCTCCCAGCCACCATAGTGTCAACCTGCTGGGCTCAGGCTATTCTTCCACCTCAGCCTTCCAAGTAACTGGAACTACAGGCACGCACCACCATGCCCAGCTAATTTTTGATTATTGTAGAGATCAGGTCTCGCCAAGTTACCTAGGCTGGTCTTGAATCCCTGACTCAGGCAGTCCTCTCACCTCTGCCTCCCAAAGTGTTGGGATTATAGGCATGAGCAACCGCATCTGGCCTGGAGCTTTAATTTGGAAGTGATGATGAGGAAGAAAGTAAATAAATAAATAAAATATAGTATAACAAGTAGCGATAAGGACTGTAAGAAGGATTCGGTGTAGAAGAAAGGTAGAGAAGGATAGTGGGGGGTGCTGTGTTATGAAGGTGGTCCAGGGAGGCCTCATGATGCCACTGGTATTTACATGGAGATCTGGAGAAGATTAGAGCACAATCTCTGTTGACATCTGGGGAACACATTATAGGCAGAGAGAACAGTGAGTGCAGAGATCATAAGGTATGACTGTTTCTCATGTGATGTAGTTTGGTGAGTGATGTGGGAGAGTTAGGAGTGAGTTTGAGATGTAGCAAGGAGTGAGATAGATGAGAGGATAGAGACCAGGTAGGGACTTAGAACCAGGATAAGGAATTTGGATTTCATTCTGTGTACGATGGGAAGCCATTGGAGAGTTTTGACTGGTAAATTGTCATAACTTGACTTGTTGTTTTAAAAGAGCATTCGTGGTAGTGAGTGGAGACTAGACTTTGGGAGACAGTGGTAGAATCTGGAAGACCACTTAGGAGCCTATTGCAATATGCCTGATGAGAGATGGTTGTGGCTTGGATGAAACTTGTGGTGGTGGAGTTAGTGACAAGAGATTCTGACCAGGTAAGATGGCTCACGCCTGTAATCCCAGTACTTTGATAGGCGGAGACAAGAAGACTGTCTGAGCTCAGGAGTTCGAGACCAGGCTGGGCAACTTGGTGAGGTCTCGTCTCTATGATAAATAAAAAAAATTAGCCGGGTATGGTGGCGTGCGCCTGTAGTTTGGCTACTTGGAAGGCTGAGGTGGAAGGATTGCCTGAGCCCAGCAAGTCAAGGTGAGGTGGCCTTGAGCATGCCACTGCACTCCAGCCTGAGTGAGACTCCACCTCAAAAAAAAAAAGATTCTGGATATATTTTCAACATAGAGCCAGTAGATGCTGATGAATTGGATGTGGGGGTATGAGAAAGAGGACTTTGAAATGACTCCAAGGTTTTTGGCCTGAGCAACCGGTAGAATGCAGATCCTATTTACCGAGATGGGGAGAAATGTGGGAAGAATGGGTTTGGTAGTAGTGGTGGTGATATCTTTTTTTTTTTTTTTTAAGTCAGGGACTCACTCTGTTGCCCAGGCTGGCGTGCAATGGTATGCTCACAGCTGCTGTAGCTCAACTTGCTGTGCTCAGGTGATCCTTCCACTTCAGCCTTCCAAATAGCTGGAACTATAAGCACACACCACCATGCCTGGCTTTTTTTTTTTTTTTTAATGTATTGTAGAGATGAAGTCTCACCGAGTTGCCCAGGCTGGTCTTAAACCCTGAGCTCAGGCAATCTTCTTGCCACGACCTCCTGAAGTGCTGGGATTACAGGCTTGAGCCACCGTACTTGGCCAGTGGTAACATCTTAATGATTTGTAAGAGCTTTTCATGTGATGAAGAATTGTAATCTGGCCAGTTACAGTGCCTCATGCCTGTAATTTCAGCACTTTGGGAGGCTGAGGCACGAGGGTTACTTGAGGAGTTGAGCACCAGCCTGGGCAACAAAGTGAGACCTGATCTCTACCAAAAAAAAAGATAAAAAAATTAGCTGGACATGGTGGCACATACCGATAGTCCCAACTACTAGGGAGGCTGAGGTAGGAGGCTGCAGTGAGCTGGGATTGTGCCACTACACTGCAGCCTAGGCATCAGAGTGAGACCCTGTCTCCAAAAATAAAAACAAAAACAGTATCGGTTCTTTTGTCATTTAGGTAGAAAAGTACCGCCTCTCCCCCCCAATTTGTTGACAGTTAACTTTGTTAGTGGTGTTTTGTTGTTTGTTACATGTTTAGGCTTTGCTGTCATGTCTAGAAAGGTTTCTTAACATAATCACCCATACTTTAAGTGCTCTTTTGTTTTTGTATTTGCATCTAATCTGGGTGGAATTAATTGTGCATATGTGAATTATAGTTGAATCAAGTTTCTCAGATAATTAACCTGTTAGCATCATTAATCAATGTGTTCTCTGCTGTGAGAAATTATTGTGTCATTTCCTTTGAATTGGGGAAGAGGGAGTGTGTGACAGGTTATGTAAGAAGTATTCATTCTGTCATGTATTAGTGTTTAGCAAGTCCTTGGTCTAACCTTTGGTTGATAACTTGGTGACCATAATTTCTGAGTATACTAAGTTGTAAATATTTGTCTCCTGAGTCTCTTCCAGTCCTGAAAAAGATACTTGCCTTAGAAAGTGGTTTTTATCATTTCCCCCAAATATTATGAATTCTGCCTTGTGGATGATATGTGTCCTGTTTTTAACCATAGCCTTTGTTCTTCCACCAAAATGTTTTTTTGCTGCTTCGTTTTGTCAGCTAATAATTTCTCTGAGATCATAAATGTATACTTGCTGTCCATCTAATCATACTACAGATTCCAAAGCCCTATAACATTTATATTTTCTACTGTCACATGCTCCGTTCCCAAGCCTTTCTCTCATATATATGGATAATTTAGAGGTGATATTAGTATTTGATTTACTGGATTTTGTTCTTTAAGGCAAGAAATTGATTTTTAAAAATTAATAATGTTTACCAAGTCTTAAGTGGGTGAAGTCATCAAGCTTGGGAGTGTCAAGGGTGATTGAAACTAAATCTCCTAAATGTTTTATTTTTACTTTTTAAAAATTTTTTAGAGAGGAAAATATGATGTTCCTAAGTGGCTCTCTCCCAGTAGCGTTCTGCTTCTTCATCAAATGCTACAGGTAAACTTTATTATTTGTTTTTAAATAATAGGGGTTCATTGCAATTGTTTGATCCAACTTTTAAGATATCTTTGGTGCTCCTACATTTTCCATTATCTGTTAACTTGAAAAAATTTTATTCATCATATGTACCTTGCAAATATCCTCTATTAGGACCTTTCTTATTTATGTGGAAACCCAATTTTTTGTGTGTGTGGACTTCTTTGCGGCTGTGGTTTATCTTATTTTTTTCTTGAGCATTGTCTGTTTTCCCTAACCAGCTCTTGCTCCACTCTCTTTTATTTTCTTGTACATTTGGCATATAGTAGATACTGAATAAATGCTTAAATGAGTTGATGTACTATTGAATGGGCCCTGTGATCATGCACTGGTTCTCAAGGTTCTCAAACTTTAGCAGGCATCAGAGTTACCAAATGGGCTTGTTAAAACACCCATTGCTGGGCCCCACCCCCAGAGAGTTTGATTCAGTAGGTCTTGGGCAGGGCTAAACATTTGTTTCTAATGAGTTCCCAGATGCTGCTGATGCTGCTGGTATTGGGACCACACCTTGAGAGCCACTGATTTACTGGAATGAGCCTCAGGGTTGAAGATAGGAGTGCTGAAGTCTAGGTATCCACCCTGCTGACCAGTAGGCAATCACCTATAAAATAGGGGTTCTGAGTCTGGCCTCATTGCAATGTAGCATTATGAGGATAAAATGAGATTGATGGGAAGCACTTTGAAAAATATAAGTACCTTATTAGTACAGTATTTTTTAAATTATGTATTCAGAATATTTTCCAGTCTTTCCATCTATTAAGTCATCTCCACCTTTTATTCAAAATTTACCTCAGGCTCACCCACCTTGATTAAGTAGGGCCAGACCACCAAATCTCCATAATGAGATTGAAAACGCCTCACTCTTTCTTCTAGACTCCAAAAAACTTAATCTTTGTTGATTAATTTTTCTCTCCTCACATTTGAAAATTACAAATGGAAAGGAAAGGTGTGCTTTTCAACTTGTTCTGTGTGATTGTAAGCTCATTGGAAGTAGAGATTGCATATTCAGTATGAATGCCCTGCATTGTGGCTGCTTGAATATTAAATTGGTGAATATTTCCCATGAATAGGTTTTCCAGCAAAAGACTATTACATCATACAATAGATTGACTGAACTTCATGAATAATGTCCATACCAATGAAGTTCATGTTTGTTAAACATTTATCTTCTAAGCTTATGTTGGTTGCTGTCGTTTTCTTGCCTCTATTGCCTTTTTTTAAAGAATTTATTCCAAGGCCATTTTAAGGTCCTCAACAGCATTTTTGCGATGATAAAGTTTACATCTGTTATGATGCATTTGAGTTCTCAGGAAGAAAGATGTTATGTGTTTTCTATTTGAAATGTTAATCTCTAGCTACTTCTTAATGGCCACTAGGTGGACCCAAAGAAACGGATTTCTGTGAAAAATCTATTGAACCATCCCTGGATCATGCAAGATTACAACTGTCCTGTTGAGTGGCAAAGCAAGAATCCTGTAAGTAAAATAAAATCCAGTAGAATTTTTTTTTTTTTTTTTTTTTTTTAGTTTTTGTGAATTCAGAACCTACAATTATGTAGTCTAAATATAAAAGAAAATATATTTTGTAGATGTATTCATCAGATTGATGTTTGGGAGACTCGTAACCTAATGGAAAGTGGTTCTGTAACCCAGTCTACACATGAGAATCACCTGGGACCTTAAAAAGAAATGCTTGCTCCTCATTCCAGAACACTTAATGGGTATTATTAAAAGCTCCCAGGTGTTTCTCATGTGTAGTCAGTCATTGTGCTCTGGGAATCTTGAGCAAGTTACTTAACTTTGCAAAACCTATTTATTCATCTGTAAAAAGTAGGTTAAGCCGGTTCTACTTACCAGAGGTTACAATAGTTCTCAAAGTTTTTGGTCTGATGACTCCTTTATACTTAGTATTTATTTATTTACTCATTCATTTAAAAGTAACAGTAATAAACGTATCATAAATTATCACAAGCAAATATTTTTATAAAGAATAACCATTTAAAAATACATTTAGCTCAGCCGGGCTTGGTGGCTCAGCCTGTAATCCCGAGCCTTTGGGAGGCTGAGGTGAGTGGATTGCCTGATCCCGCGGGTTTAAGACCCGCCTGGGCAACTGGGCAAGACCTCATCTCCACAATAAATCAAAAATGAGCCGGGTGTGGTAGCGCACGCTTGTAGTTCAGCTACTTGGAAGGCTGAGGCGGAAGGATCGCCAGAGCCCAGCAGGTTGAGGCTGCGGTGGCCGGGAGCGGCCACTGCACTCCAGTCTAGGTGACAGAGTGAGACTCCAACACACACACACACACACAAAATACATTTAGCTAAAAGAGTGGCATTGTTTTACATATTTTCAAATTTCTTTAAAGTTTGGCTTAATAGAAGACACTTGTGTAGTCACCTGCTTCTGTATTCAGTCTGCTTTGATATATTGTTTTGATTGAAACATAAGAAGATTCTGCCTCACACAGATATATAGTAGGAAAAAGGAGAAGAATTTTTACTCATTTGTGATTGCTGACATGAATTTACATCCTTTCAAATTCTCTTCCTGGTTGCCGCTGATGCAGATTTATGTCTTTGCAAATTCTGTTTCTGGATGCTGCAACGTTGTCATACGCATGTGTTATTATATTTTGCTTGAAAATGAATAGTGAGGCAAGGAGAGAGAAGTTGAAATTGTTATCTGGTATCAACTGTGCGATGTTGTTATTGATTTATATAGTTGGTAAAAATTACAAGTTGGTCATTATTTTGTTGCGATTAGTGTTGTGTACTTGTATTTTGATGTTTCAGGGCTTTCATATTTCAACGTTAAAAATAATTTACCAGCCGGGCTCAGTGGCTCAGCCTGTAATCCCATGCCTTTGGGAGGCTGAGGTGAGTGGATTGCCTGAGCCCACGGGTTTGAGACCCGCCTGGGCAGTGAGACCTCATTTCTACAATAAATCAAAAAATCAACCGGGCATGGTAGCGCATGCCTGTAATTCTGGCTACTTGGAAGG